GCGAAGCCCCGGGAGGCGAGCGGCCCCTCCGCTCCCCCGCTGCCGGAGACTCGCTGGGAACGGGGAGGCGGGGAAACTGAGGCTGTGCCAAGGGACCTCGGGGTCCAGGGTTCGCGCGCCCCGTGGTCCGATCCCAGAGCCTGCTTCCTCCAGGCCGGGGTCCCGCCGTGTCCGCAGGTGGCCCCGGCCCCGACTGCACCGCGCCCGGTCGTCCTCCTCCCGGGGACCCTGGGCCGCCCCGCGGGGCGAGGGTCGGGTCGGCAGCGAGCCCGTTGCCCCTGCTCCCCTCAGGGAGCTGGGTTTGAACTCACGGCCTCTGAGCCTCACCTCCAGCCCTGTTCCTCACCGGCTATTTTTAGACACGGGACTTTAATTCCCGCCCAGACCCGAGTCTCGGCTGCCCCTGCGGTCCAGGCCCGGGTGCCCCATGGAGTTCTCCCGCCCGCCGGCCTGGCGCCTGGCACCGCCCTCCTCCCCCGGGAGGGAGGACCCGCATCTTCTGCACCCCGCTGTGGGGTGAGAGGACACTGCTATCGACTTTTCTTCCCTGGGGCTGGCCTTGAGTTGCAATCTTCCATTCCCAGCCTCCCAAGTGGCTAGGACCACAGGTCATCGCCCTTGGCGCTCTTGACTTTTGCAAGCAGTGCTGGAATGCACTTTAAGAAGTGACCTCTCCCTCCAGCCACACTCAGAACTCCTGGTCACCTGTTGGCCAAGGATCCTTCTAGACTTCTTGCTGGCTCACTGCTTGTTTTCTTACAATGAAGAGGACCAGGCATGAATCACTTAAACGTGGAGGGACAGATAAGGCCTGGAGGAGGCTGGGTTCAGTGGAGGGAGGAGGACGGATGGGAGCAAGTCTGCTCTACTTCCGGGTCACTGTCTCTAGGGGGAAATGGGATAAATAGCTGCAGCACTGACCCCCTCCCCCACCTGGACCCCAGCAAGTTGGAAGCAGAGCTAAGGCTGGACTCTTATTCACCTTCAGCAAGAGACAAATACTGTAGCAGCTCGGTGAGTGGTTTTGGTCCTCTGCTGGGCCCCTAGCCCCATCCCAGGCCCCCTTGGGCGCCCCTCTCCCCCAGAGCTGGTCTGTGGCTCACCCAGGGTGACTCAGTGCGGGCCCCACCCCTGCCTGACTTCCCCCTCTTCCCCCTTGGGGTGATTCAGGAGTCAGCAGGGTCCAGAGGCCCCTGGAGGCTCTGAGCCTAGCTGGCAAGACCTCCCGTTTTTTGGGAGTGCCGGCTGATGACTGGGGCCTGTGAGATGATAAACACAGAACAGTCTTGTGGGTGCGGCCTGGGTCTGTTCCCGTTCCCTGTGTTGGCCTTGGGCGGGCCCCACCCCTCCATGGCTGCGGCCAGCAGGGGGGGTGGGGGGGACTGGTTGCAGGCTGGCAGGGACACCAGCTTGTGCGCCTCCCCTTCCCCATGCTGGGGCCCAGGGACCGTATTGCCACACAAACCTCTAAAACCGGATGCTCAGGAAAGGAAGCATTTGCCAGGCCCCTGCAGGGACCCTGCCAAGCAGTGCCCACAGGGGCAGAGGGCAGGCTGTGGTTGCCAAGGGCTGGGTGGCACTGGTGGGGCGTGATTGCATATGGGCACAGGATTTCTTTTTTTTTGGTTGGTCGCTCTGGGCCTGGGCACTGTCCCTCAGCTCTTCAGCTCAAGGCTAGCACTCTACCACTTGAGCCACCGCACCACTTCTGGCTTTTTCTGCTTCTGTGGTGCTGAGGAATCGAACCCAGGGCCTCATGCATGCAAGGCAAGCACTCTACCACTGAGCCATCTTCCCAGCCCAGGTTTTCTGAGTGATGAAACTGTTGTGGAACTTGGTAAAGACAGTTGGGAATATATGAGATATCCTACACCTTTGTTGGTTGTGGGGCTTGAATGCTTGAGCTCAGAGTCTTTTGCTCAAGGCTCATGCTATATAGCTCCTTGAGGCACAGTACCATTTCCAGGTTTCTGGTGGTTCATTGGAAATGAACAATTACTGGACTTTTCTGTCTGAGCTGGTTTAAACTGTGATCCTCAGATTTCAGCCTCCTGTGCAGCCAGGAATTCAGGTGTGAGCCCAGATCCCATTCTACATGGCATCCAGTTCTGTGTACCTTTAGATGGTCAGGTGTATAGTTGGTCAAGAGGAAGATCACAAGTTCAAGGCCAGCCTGGGCAACATAGCAAGACCCTCTTAAACCAAACCAAACCAAACCCTGGCAGGAGTCGCTGAGCTCAGCAGGAGTGGTAAGGGACAGGGCCTGGGATCTTTGTTCTCTTCAAGGCTCTCCTGGATTAAGCCTGTGCGGGCTGGGGTCTTCCTCATCAAGGCTGGCCTGGAACTCAGGCCCTGTGAAGGCTGGGATTTTAGAGGTGTGTGCCAGACACCTGGCAGGACTGTGCACTTTCCTGTCTGAACTGCGAGACTTGGTGTCTAGCATTTATTTGGAACTAGATTTATTTTTATGAGCTTGAACTCAGGGCTTTGTGATCTTGTTTAGCTTTCTTGCTTATGACTAGTCCTCTACCACTGGGCTCACAGCTCCACTTCTGGCTTTTCTGTGGTTAATTGGAGATAAGAGTCTCATCAACCCAATGCTGGTGGTGCAAGCCTGTCAGCTACTTAGGAGGCTGAGATCTGAGAATTGCAGTTTGAAGCCAGCTCAGGCAGGGAAGTCTCTGAGACTCTTCAACTAAGCACCAGAAAACCGGAAGTGGTGCTGTGGTACAACCTATAAGTTGATAGCAGCGCTGTTGTTCAACTGGCAGAGCACTAGCCATGAGCAAAAAAAAAAAAAAAAAAAAAACCAGGGCCAGAGCAGAGCGCCCAGGCCTTGAGGTCAAGCCCCAGGACTGGCACGCATGCGTGTGCGTGCGCACCCACACCCACACAGTTTCATAAACTTTCCTTCCCAGCCTGGCTTCAAACCATGATCCTTGAACGTCAGGTGTGGGCCACGGTGCCCAGCCACATCCCTTTCTACCGAGGAGAAACCGAGAAATCTGAGGGGACTTCCCTGAGGCCCCAGTGGATGGTGGGGAACAAGCTTTGTCTGCCGTTAAGCCACTAAAGGAAGGAAAGAAGGAAGAAGGTGCTAGAACACAGGCACAGGCCTGGCAGGGCTGAAGCCCGCTGGGTGGAGGGGATCTTGAGCCTGCACCGGGTGAGGGATGTGGGGGGTCTGAGGTGGGAGAGCTCCGCGGGGCTGGGGAAGGCCCTCACCCCACCCTCTGTTCTCTTTCAGAACTTTCTGGAGCAGCGGCTGCAGCACCCATGGCGCCACCTTGGGTGCCCCCGGTGGGCTTCACGCTGGTGCCCAGTCTAGGGGGCTTTGTGGGCTCCTACTTCGTGCGAGGAGAAGGTCTCCGCTGGTACGCCGGCCTCCAGAAGCCTGCGTGGCACCCGCCGCGCTGGGCGCTCGCCCCCATCTGGGGCACGCTCTACTCAGCCATGGGGTAGGTGGGTGTGGGCTGAGCCCCTTCCTGGAGGGCGGCCCCCGGCAGAGGCGGCCCCGGCTCCCAGCGAGGCTGCGGACCTCCTTCCTCTGGGTTTGGAGAGGCTGCCTCCACCCGCCCTGGGTGTGTTTGGCCTGTGGGCCTCTAGGAACTACTGCGGTGGCAGAGGTGCAGCTTCATGGACTGCGGTGCCAGGGCCCAGGATGGCATGTTCCAAAGCCTGTGTTGAACAAGGGACCTGCCAGGAAAGTGCCCAGTGACCGGAAGGGCGTCCCCTGGTGGTGTCTGTGGGGATAGCTTCAGGGTGTGGTCAGAGGTCAACTAGTCCCCTCCTCTTCCTAGAATGTTCTCTGCAGCCCTGCTGTGGCTCGCATCTGTATTCCTGCTTCCTCCCATCATGCCAGATTTGGGCCAGATGCCTGTGGCTGGCAGGGCCCGTGGCTAGGTTCAAAGCCTTCTCCACGAATCTGCCCTTTATGACACCGTTGAAAATAGCAGCAGGTGCTGTTTCGTGTGTGTGAGCCCCCACAGCAATCCTGTAAGACGAAGGCCCAGGGAGGCCAAGCGATTTCCTGGACATCACACAGCAGGCAGTGACGGCATCATTGCCATCTCAGAGATGAGTGAGGCTCTGGCCCTTTTTCTGATGGTGTCCTTCTGACCGGTGGCCTCTGTTTTAGATATGGCTCCTACATGGTCTGGAAAGAACTGGGGGGCTTCACAGAGGAGGCTGTGGTTCCCCTGGGTCTCTACGCTGGGCAGCTGGCCCTGAACTGGACGTGGCCCCCTATCTTCTTTGGTGCCCGAGAGATGGGCTGGGTAAGTGCGGCCTTGGCCTGACTCCCTGAGGGCGGCCCGGGACGTGGGCAGCAGCAGCGGCAGGGGAGGCAGGAAGCTCACAGCGGAATGCCTCCAGCCTCTCCACCGGGCACGCTGGCTGCACCTGCAGTGTACACGCTCACAGGTTTGGCTTGAGCCCAAGCTCCAGGGCAGCCTGGGCAGTGCAGCAAGGCCCAGTCTCAAACAAGAAAAAGAAAGAGGAAAAAGTGTCTTGTCAGACGCTGGTGCTCACATCTGCAGTCCCACGAGGCTGAGAAAGCCCATGAGACTCAGCTCCAATGAGCTACTCAGAAAAAGCTGGAAGTGGAGGTGTGGCCACGTGGCAGAATGCTAGCCTTAAACAAAAGCTCAAGGTCCCAAGTTTAAGCCCTAGGACTGTCATACACATTTCTTGGCTTAAAAGAATCTAAGCTAGGGGCTGGGATGGTGGCTCAGTGGTAAAGCGCTTGTTTTGCATGCATGAGGCCCTGGGTCCGATTCCCCAGCACCATATAAGCAAAAAGGAAAAAAAGAAAGCCAGAAGTGGCAGTGTGGTTCAAGTGTTGGAGCGCTAGCCTTGAGCTGAAGAGCTGAGGGACAGCGCCCAGGCCCAGAGTTCAGGCCCGACGACTGGACCCAAAAAAAAAAAAAAAAATCTAAGCTAGGCACCAGTGGCTCACACCTGTCATCCTAGCCACTCAGGAGTCTGAGATCTGAGGATCATGGTTCAAAGCCAACTTGGGCAGCAAATTCCTCGAGTCTCTTATCTCCAGTTAACCATCAGAAAACCAGAAGTGGTGCCGAGGATTAAAGAGGTAGAGCGCTAGCCTTGACCAAGAGTCAGGGGCAGTGCCCAGCCCTGAGTTCAAGCCCCAGGGTCACCACCACCACCTCCAAAAGATAAAGTCCACTGAGCTGCACCCCAGCCCCTCAGAAGGGTCCCTGCTGAGCCAGACAGGGGTCCCCACCACTGGCCAGCCTTGGGGACAGCAGAGCCCCCCTCGCACAGCCTGAGGCCTCCAGCTGAGCCCCAGCCCAGCCTATTCAAAGGCAGGGTGGGCGTGGCAGGTCCCTGGAGGCTGGGGAGGCCTGAGCCCCGCAGGCGTGGACAGCGGTGGACCCAAGGCTGTTTCTGCAGGCCTTGGTGGATATCCTGCTCATCGGCGGGGCAGCAACAGCCACGACCGTGGCCTGGCACCGGGTGAGTCCGCAGGCCGCCAGGCTGCTGTACCCCTACCTGGCCTGGCTGGCCTTTGCCACTGCGCTCAACTATACCCTATGGCGAGACAACCGAGGCCGGCCCGGGAGGTGGCACCCGGAGTGAGGATCCTGGCCTGCCAAGCACTGAGCACCGCTGCCACAGCCACGCCTGCCTGCCTGCCCGCCCGGCCTGCCAGCCATCCATCTGGATGTGGACCTGAGCCCAGGGCCGCCAGCAGCTGCGGGGCGGGTGGGCCCAGTCCCACGCAGGTGCAGGGTCCCGTGCCTCTGCACCGCGTGAGGCAGGCTGTCATTTTCTACCCAATAAAGTTTGCAGGCAGCTGTGCGGTGGCCTGTGTGGGGTGGGAACGGGGGAGGGGAAGGGGAGCAGCGTGGCACTTCACCCAGACGAGCCTGGGGTCTTCCCAGCACCGCGCACTCCAGAGCCACAAAAGCCCCAGGAGCAGGAGAGGGCTGGCTCCTCACAAGCTGAGGGTCGGGGGCCGCCAGTGGCCTCTCTCCAAGGACGGCCAGGGCGGCCTCCACTCTGGGCCTGTGGGTGTGGAAGTGACCGTTCTTGTGAGCCTTCCAAGCTGGCGGCCGGGCCGGGGCTCTCATCATGCGCAGACTCCTAGTCTGAGCATGGGTGATCCCCACGCTGCGCTGCGTGCTGGGCCGGCACCACGCTGGGGTCCTCCAGCCAGCACTCACCCCTGCTGCCCAGGGCCTGGCGGGGTGGGACGGGCAGCCTCCACGGGAACTCCCTCAGGCTGACTGGCTTGGGGGTCCCCGAGCCAGAGCCGGAGCTGGAGCGTTAGTGAGCGGGGCCTGAGCGCACTGGCCACACAGAAACTGGCAGAACAAACCTTGGAAAAAACTAGAACTTTACATCCATGGAAACTCCTGCAGTTTGACAGACACTGGCGGAAGACAGCTTCTGCTTTAACGTAACGTTCTCCTGGGCCCTGCCTGCCCGCCCCAGAGCACGTGCCCGTCAGGGGCTGGGGGACACAGACGCGGCGTCACGCAGCATGCAGGAACTGTGGCTGGCCTCCAGAAGATGGGAGCCGCACCCAAGTCCTGGTCTGGGCGCCTGTGGGGAGCCACTCAGGGAAGAGGCTCCTGTGGCACCTCTGGGAACCGTCCTGAGATGTCAGGAGTAAGCCCCAGTGGACGCCTCGGCACATTACCTCAACGGCACATTACTACTAGAAAAATAAAGCTCCCGGTGGAGGCTGTGGCTGCAGGTAGAGTGGGCTGCAGCGCCCTGCCCTGCCGACACCCCTGCTCGCCACAGCTCTGCCCAGAGGGCGGGGGGACTAGAGGAGGCGGGGTGGGGGAGAGGGACTAGAGAAGGGGGGTGACATGGCAGCCGGCGGGCTGGTCAAGAAACAAGGTGCTGAAGACGTCGTTGAAGAAGGTGGGGTGGTAGCGGCAGGCCCGTTCGCAGTCAGGGTTGAAGTTTACCTCTAGGATCTGCGGCTGCATCACGGGCTTCCCTGGGGGCAGAGCATGGGCTGTGGGAAGGGGGCCACAGGCGGGGGGGGGGCGGGGAGCACAGGCACGGGCTGGGGGCTCCTTACCACTGGGATGGCTGTCCCACTTGAGCATGAGGTCGATGGCGTAGACGGCCCGGGACGAAGGGTAGTCGCACAGGCCCAGAGGGGGCGGCTTGGCGCACACGGCTTGGAAAAGCTCGGCGAAGGCCCGGAAGATCTCAGCCTGGGGACAGGTGAGGCGGCCTGCTCAGCATGGACGCTGGGAGGAGCCCCAGCCCCTCCTAGCTCCACGTGGCAGCCCTGTGGCCTGAACCGTTCTTCCTCTTCTGGGGTCTATAGACCAGCCAGGGCTGCCTTCACTGGAAGTGCTGGGAATGCAGCCCAGGGCCTCTCCGCTGGGCCACTGCTATATCCTAGCCTCTGCCCAGAGCTCCTGCAGGTGGTGGAGGCCCAGCCTCCACAGAGCCTGTCACGTCTGTCACCCTCTGATTGCCCTAGGGTGTCCCAAATACTCTCAGGTCACTCCTTTCTGCTGTGGGAGCCCACAAGCCCGCACACAGGCCGAGGGGCAGCAGAGATATCTCTACAGACTCCGTGGGAGGCAGAGGACCCACAGAAGGCGCTAGCGCCCCCTCCACCGAGCCGGGAGGGAAGGGGCAGCCTGCAGGCCCAGCTCTGTCCCCGCCCCAGGGCGCAGGCCCACCTGGACACCGCTCCAGGGAAACGCCGGGTACTGCTTCTCAAACTGAGGGATGAACTCGTCATAGTGCACCTGCAACACATTAAGGCCTGTCGCAACGCTCCGGCTGGCCACAGCCCGCACGGCCCACGCGGTGTCAATCCCAGCCCTGCAAGGCACACCACGTGGGAGGCCGGGAGCCTCCCGTGAGATGAGCGGCGGGCACCGGTACCTCCGGCTCCGCGTTCCGCCCGGTAATTGGACATAACTTTTTGGACTTTTGCCCTTGGGCTGGCTTTGAACCTCCCCATTCCACGTCTCAGTCTCCTGGGTAGCTAGGATGACAGGCCAGCGCCTCCGGTGCCCGGCAGGCAGACTTAACTTTGAGGCTGTTTCCCCCCTGCGAAAAGTCCCTGCTCCCCGTCCCGCCTGCGGGGCTGCAGTACATCGCCTGAGCGCCAGGGCACAGGAGGCGGGCGGGCAGCGCCCTGCCGGCGGGCGCGGCTCAGAACCGGTCCGGGTGGAGCAGCACCGGCTGCAGACTCCGAGCTCTGCCTGAGGACAGACCAGGAGGCTGGAGAGCAGCCAGCACCTGGCACGCCCGCTGGATGCGGCTTCCCACATGGGGCGCGGGAGGGCTCAGAGCCCTTAGCGATGGCTTCTAATAATACTCAGATTAGGGTGGTCAAGGGCAAGAGGCCACAGGACCACCTGGCCATGCCCTGCCTGTGGGGAGTGGGCACATGGCAGCCACCCCCCAGTAGGTAGTGCAGGTATGGGGTCAACATGAGGACCATGCGTCACTACTCAACAGCCACAAAGATCTGGAACCGCCCTGTGAGGTCTCAGAGCACATCCAATCACGTAGCATTGGCACAAACACCAGTCATGGAAAACCAGGGCTGGGCTGCTGAGGGGTCCGCTAAGGTGTGCCTGTGCCAGCTCCATACATCTGGCTGTGGACAGTTGTGAGGCGGGACAGGCGAGATGGGGTTTGGTGGACAGGCAGCAGGACAGAGAGGGCTTAGACACACATCTGGAGGTCTGCTTCTCCATCCTTCCAGCACTCAGAGCTGGCCTTGGTGCGGGCACCTGCTGCCCAGCTGGCTGCCAGGCATCTCCCGTTTGTGCCTCAGCCCTGGCACCTGAACAGCCACCTTTCCCGGGTGTCCACTGCTGACCCCAGGCCATGACCTGCCTCAGGACCCCAATCCCGAATGCTCAAGCGCCGCAGGACCTCCACACACCAAGGACCTGTGCCTGGCACAACACTGCTGCTTTCAAGATGTTTCTAACAGCCACACCAAGGACGCGCATCCCAGGCCCTACCTGCTTCAGTACCACTTCCGGGTCATAGTTCATGACAGTGAAGTGCTTCTCATAGTCGTCCAGGTCGCTGAGTGCGAAGGGCCTAGAGGACAAGCGCACAGCTGAGCCGCTGCTGGGAACCAGGGACACAACACCCCTTGGCCACGCTGGGCACTGGTTCCCTGGTGTAAGCTGGGGTCAGAAGAAGGAGCTGTGAAATCTGCAACCACGACCAGCGGTCACACCAGTCACGTGCCCACCCGGGAACGAAGGGTCACAAGCTGGCAGATGGAGGAGACCCTCGGCCCAGCCCCTCGCCACGCCTGGTCAGCCAGCACCCCGGGCCCGCAGGTTACCTACCGGTTGGAGAACCGCAGCCAGAAGACGTCATACACAAACACCCGGAGTGGCGCCACGGAGCGCAGCAGCACAATGTAGCGGATGTCGAACTTGACACTGCCCACGTCCTCTCGGAGGAACAGGACGGGGCTCTCGATGTACTTGGACACAACCTGGAGGTAGCATGGGCTCGCTTCAGTTCCCGCACCCAAGACGGGGCTCCTCCCTGGGCCCAGGACCCCTCTGCCCAGTCCCGCCTGGGCCAGCTACCACTGCCCTTTCCTTATTTCAAACCCCATCTAGGATTCACATCTAATGGAAAAAAATGCACGAACTAGCCTCACCTGTAACTCCTTTCACCCCTCAATAAGCACCCTCATGGCCCCCACCCCAGACACGCCCTGGGCAGACCTGTGTCCTCTGAGCCCCAATGTGCCCTCCGCACGTCCCGCCCCTGCACCTGGTGTCCCTCTGGCCGCCCACCCTCCTGCCGCAGTCACTCCGGCGGTCAGCGCTGCTTGCCTGAGGTGGGCGGGGCCTCGTCCATGGTCAGTGCGTGGTCCGAGACCAGGTCCGGCCCCAGTGCTCACTCCCGAAAGCCCAGTGACCGCGGACCCCGCCCACCACCCAGGCCTGGGCCGGGCCCCACCTTGGGGGTGCTCTCGCGGTGCCGGATGATGCTGTGGAGGCTCTTGGTGATGTGCATGTCCAGGCTGCGGGCCAGGTTCCAGGGCTTGCAGATCCAGTGGTTGTCCTCACCCCTAGGGGAGTGGGGGGCTGGCAAGGCTGCACCAGAGGCGCAGGCCCCAGGCCCACTGTGAGGCGAGCTAGTGTCTCCCAGGAAGCCAGGAGAGTAGGAAGTTGGCAGGACCAGGCTGTCTGGGGTCCCGCCTGCCTGGGGGCCTTACCGCCTCTCCCGCTGCTGGAAATAGCTGACGAACTGGGGTAGCTCGGTGTGCAGATTGAAGGTGCGGGGCAGCCAGGGGGGCCCCTCGGGGCCGCCTGCCCGGCGAGCCACAGACGCCAGGCAGTCCTTCACCGTCAGCAGGTTCTCGCAGGGGAACTGGTTCAGCAGCACGCGTGGCCGCTCCTGGCTGAGCCTCCTGTGGGTGGAGGAGCAGCTGGCTCAGAGCGCAGCGGGGGCCTGGCGGAGGCCCGGGGGGCTGGGGGGCCACCCCACCTGTAGTCCTTGAAGTGAGAGAAGTTGAAGAGGATGTCGGCGTCGGCCTCGCTTGGGGTGAAGGTGAAGCGCGGGTGGGTGAGGTGGCTGAGCACCTGTTGCACGTCCGTGTGCACCCTGTGGGGGGTGGGGGTGGGGTTAGCTCCTGCCCGGGGCTCCGGGTCAGCAGGGGCTGGGCACCTTGTGCCCTATGTGGCCAGATTCTCACTTCAGGACAGGAGCTTAGGTCCTGCGTCCGTGGACGGAATGGAACAGGGCAGTGTAAGCCATTAAGAACAATACTCCATGGGGGTAGAGGGTGGGCTGCTACCACCGCTCTGACAACAGATGCCACAGAGCGTGGGTATGGGATGGGAGCCCTGATGAACTCTCCCATGGCGGCATCTGCAGGCCAGTCAGGACAAGCACAGGGCAGAGGTGAAGTGGGGCGCAGAGGCCTGTGGGACAATGGGTGAAGGTGGCCGGAGGGGCTGTGGTGGACTGGGCGGCTGGCACTGGGTGAAGATCCAGTCCCTAGAGAGGGACTGAAGCCCGCGGTGAGCAGGGCGCTGAGTGGGCTTCCTGTGGTCTGCTGGGGCCCGCGTGGGGGTGGAGAGGAGCACCCCACCCACCAGCAGCGGAACCAGGTTTGGGGGTCTCTAGGAGGGGATTCCACAAAGGCAGAATCTGGTGTTTGACCCAGCTCAGCGTAAGGGGGCACGGCTCCTCACTGATGACAGCCTGACAGCTCCCGCCCTAGGGACTCAGGCACGCCTCTCCCGCAGTCTACTGGGCTTTATTTTTGGTTGGTCATGGTTCTTGAACTCTGGGCCCGGGCGCTGTCCCTCAGCTCTTCAGCTCAAGGCAAGCGCTCTACTACTTGAGCTACAGAGCCACTTCTGGTTTTCTGGTGGTTCATTAGAGAAAAAGAGTCTCACAGACTTTCCTGTCCAATCTAGTTTTGAACTGTGATCCTCAGATCTCAGCCTCCTGAGGGTTATAGGTGTGAGCTGCCAGCGCCCGGCTTCAGGTCTTGTTTTGGGCGAGTGATCTCACTATGCAGCCCAGGCTGGCTTTCAACTCTGCAGCTCAGGGGCCATGGAGAAATTTATGACGATTCGAAGGCCATACAAAATGATCAATACAGGCAGATGGCCTGGGACGGCTGAAGAGAAGCACCGCGATCTGCCTCGTCCCCTCCTGGAGGATGGTGACCGAGGGACACACACTTACTTGAAGACGTGGTCATGGGGGTACGCTGCAGGGCTGATGGGAAGTGGCAGTTTCTCCTTGTTTTCTTCCAAGATGGCCTGGAAGGAAGAGAGCAGAGTTGAAAATGGACCTCAGGGCCTCCCTGATAGGACTGAACTAGGCCACCACCTGGGGGGGCTTGGGGTCAAAGTCTCTCAGGTATGGAACCGCCCAACTCTACATCAAGAAGAGACAGGCAAGGTCGCTCTTGATCTCAGCACTGCCTGAGTCAGGTGGGAAGGAGCCTGGCGTCTTCTGCAGGGGCTGTTGATCTGAGGAGTGCTGGAGGGCTTGACACATGTTCACATAGCTGGGCGCCAGAGGCTCACGCCTGTCATCCTAGCTACTCGGGAGGCTGAGATCTGAAGATCTGTAGAACCCATGGGTGCAGAGGTCTTGAGTGTTCAAACACAGGGAGTTCCACTTCCCAGCTCACAGTGGGCCCTGAGCACTTCAAGCTGCTTCTGAGCCATGGGTAGCCTCACTGGGCCATGGGCTCAGAAGTGCGGGCTGGGGTGGGGATTGGGGCTCGAGGCTTCAGCCAGTGGAGGGCCAGCCCGGGCAGCAGTGTGTGAAAATCTACAATTAACAACCAAAAAGCTGTTAGTAGAGTTTGGCTCAAATGGTAGACCTTGGACAAAAAAAAGCAAAGGGACCATCAGCAAGCCTGAGTTCAAGCCCTAATACTGGCGCAGGGGCAGGTCCACGAGCTGCGTCTCTTCCGAAGGCACAGCTCAGTGCACAGTTCAGTCCACCTCGTTGAATGTAGCCGCACTAGCGGTTGCGTCTCCTGGGCAGCAGCAGTGGAGACGAGGCACTCCGGAGGCGGGCCACCAGGTCCTGAGCGGCTTCTCACTTTCTCTCTGGCCAGGTCAGTTACCATGCCACGGGGACACGGGGCAGCCCACGGAGAGGCAGCCCACGGAGAGGCAGCGCCTCACCGGGGCCTCAGCCCCAGCCATGGTGTACAGCCGGGGCAGCGCTGAGGGCCACCAAACCCCAGCTCCACAGAAGCCACGTGGGTCACAGCCTGACCTGAGCGGTTGCCTGGAACAAGGATGTTCCAGGTGAGGGCAGGTGGCCTGTTCCCTGTTCCTCTTCCCTCAGAACTTTCCAAGGCGCACACCAACGTCCCTTCTTGTCCCATTAACAGCCGGCCTCCAGGCCAGCGTGCCTGTCCCTCTCCAGCCCCACGCACAGGTCCACCTGTGGGTCTGTGTGGCACCGTGGTTCCCTCAGAGCCGCTGCTTCGGAGGTGTCCACCGTGGCAGGCCGCAGGCCGTCAGCCAGCAGCACTCAAGGGACGGCGGGGCCGCAGCACAGCGCTGCCCCCGCGAGGCCTTCCCACAACCCTCGGGCACGCCGCAGCCTCACACGCGATGGGCTCTGTGGCTCTCACGTCCCCTTGGCGCTGGACCCCAGCTGCCCTCCCCTGGCCAAAGCCTCACCGAGCCCCATTCCTCGCGTGAGGTCTCCCCGCCAGCCTGCACTTCTGAGCAGCACCGCTGGGCCCACAGCTCAGAAGTAGCCTAGAGTGCTAGGGCCCGCTGTGCCCTGGAGCTCAGGCCTCTGCACCCATGGGTTGTCTATCCGTATCTAACTGATAGTGTGTCAAATACACTTGAGGAGTCATTTCACGCGGAGGGACGCGGCAGGCATTTTGTCCTGGTCACTGCTCCCCAAGCAGCACCGTACTGACAACGGCTCGCACCACTGCATGAGGCACCGGAGGCCACCCAAGACGATGTGAAGCACACAGGGGCCGTGCAGGGTTCCCCACTTGACGTAAAAGCGTGAGCACCCACAGACACCCACCGTGGGGGCACAGTGAGGTGAGCTGGTGATGAGCAAGATCCAACTGCCCAGCCTATTTACCCTTCCCCACCCCTACTGCCCCCAGGCCCTGGGCCCGGCCCAGTCCAGCTCAGCCGAGCCCCTGGGGCCCTGATTCCAGCACCAGGCGCCCGGGACTGAGGTCGGGACAGGTGCAGGCTGCGCAATGGGGGAACTCCTGCCCACGCCGAGCCCTTGTCTCTCACCAAATGCTTCCCTCCCTCCCACAGTAACCAGCTCAGGGTCTGGCATCAGTTGGCATTCAGAAACATTTGGTGACTGGATGGAGAACGTTCCAGAAACCACCAAGCACACAGGCCTGGGGTCAGAGGCAGAGGGCACACCTGGTAATACTCGGCAGGCGGCTCGGGCGTGGAGGAGCTGAGGTCCAGCATGTCAACGGGGGCCCAGGGCAGCAGCCTGCATTTCCGGATCAGAGGGTCTGCCTCTCCGTAGGCAAAGTCCCGGGTCACCTCCTCTGCGTGGAGACACGCGTGCCCATCAGCGGGGGCCGCGGCCGCTCCCAGGCCTATCCTCCGGGACGGGCGGGTGCCTCACTTACCACCTGTGTCCAGGTCCCGCAGGGGCCACAGCAGGGTGTAAGCCACTTGCTGGGGTGCGTAGAAGAATGGTGCGGTGGCGAAGCTGGGCTCATCCGCGTGCTGGATCCGCGCACCAAACTCGTCCATGATGTACCACACGGGCACGCGCTCCTCTGCCGTCTGCGGGCACAGCGGGGTCAGTGTCAGCCACGTGCCCCCCCCCCCACCGCCCTTCTGGGCACCCCTCCACCCACATGCACCTCCGCCAAATTGCCCTGGGCCTGGGAGTCCCAGGCCTCCTGGACAGGGCCGGCCATGGGGTGCTGTGAGAACTTGCTGGGGGGGGGCAGTGCTTTGCAACAAACACGGGGGTGTCTGCGTTCCCTGCTCTCTGGGGCCAGGGGGACTTGAGTCAGGGTTGGGGTGGGGTAAAGGAAAGGAGTCTCTCAAAGCCACATGGATGAGTAATGAGAGCTTGAGCCTCTTCTGGTGTGTGTGTGTGTGGTGTGTGCTGTGTGTGTGTGTAAGAGGGAGACAGAGGGACGGGATTAGAAAGGAATAATGAAGGGCCAAGTCATCTGGGCCCAAAGCCATCACTCTCATAAAGCTATGAAGAGTGAGGCCAAGGGCTGGGTGGGCACCGGGCCCACAACCTTGGTTGACCCCAGGGACTGTGCAGGGCCTCCACGGGCCACGGGGGAAGCCCAGCCTGCACACTGTGGCCGTCTTCCCTGCCCCGGGCCTGGGGGTGAGCTCACCCCGTGGGCCAGCTGGTAGGTCTGGTTGAACTTCCACATCTCCTCCAGCACCAGGGCCACAGCCTCAGCACTTGGCAGCTCGCCGTGGAACTCAATGCCCATCAGGTTGGCCATGCGGTGCAGCAGCCCGGGCACCTGCTGCAGCTGGTGGCGCGCATGCTCCACGCGACACGTCCAGGCGTGGTCGATGAGGAAGATGCTGAAAGCACAGGCCACGTGTGGCATGAGCGCCAGGCAGGCTCGGTGCGCAGGAAAGGGGAAGAGGCTCAGGGCTGTGACCGAACCTAGCACCCAACTCTTTTGAAGCTGTTTCTTTAGCACCATGGTAATGGTTTTGGAGTCTCTAGGCCTCAGCCACAATCCTGGTCGTCTCCTCAGTGTGTGGCCCTGAACAAGACTTCCTTCTCCTGAGTGGACTTCCTTTCCACATGGACTGAACAAAAAGTAGCTGAACACACTGAGTGTGGTGGCGCTGCAGACACCGAGCCTAAGTGTCAGCCACTGGCTCCCAGCTGCTGCGGGGCAGACCCGAGCAGTCCCTCCTGCTTCCTGTAGCAGCACCAGCACCATCAAGAGCAAAGGCTGGCCAGGCATGGTGCCACATACCCATAATCCCAGCAACTCTGGAGGAGGTAAGAGGACCTTGAGTTTAAGGCCAGTTGGAGCAGAGTTTGAACAAGAATCTGTATCAAAACTGAAATATAAGCAGGGTGCTGGTGGCTCACACCTGTAATCCTAGCTAGTCAGGAGGCTGAACTCTGAGGATTATGGTTCAAAGCCAGCCCAGACAGGAAAGTCTGTGAGACTTTTTTTTTTTTCTTTTTTTTGGGTCCGGTTGTGGGGCTTGAACTCTGGGCCTGGGCGCTGTCCCTCAGCTCTTTAGCTCAAGGCTAGCGCTCTACCACTTGAGCCACAGCGCCACTTCTGGCTTTTTCCTTTTTGCTTATGTGGTACTGAGGAATCGAACCCGGAGCCTCAGGCATGCAAGGCAAGCGCTCTACCATTGAGCCATCTTCCCAGCCCCTGTGAGACTCTTTTCTTTTTTTTTTTGGGTCCGGTCGTGGGACCTGAACTCTGGGCCTGGGCGCTGTCCCTCAGCTCTTCAGCTCAAGGCTAGCACTCTACCACTTGAGCCACAGCCACTTCCGGCTTTTTTCTTTTTTGCTTATGTGGTGCTGAGGAATCGAACCCAGGGCTTTGAGCATGCAAGGCAAGCGCTCTACCACTGAGCCACTTTCCCAGCCCCCCCTGTGAGACTCTTATCTCCAGTTAACCACCAGAAAAATGGAAGTGGACCAGTAGCTCAAGTGGTAGAGCACTCGCCTTGAGCTGCAGAGCTCAGGGACAGTGCCCAGGCCCAAAGCTCAAGCCTCACGCCTGAGCCAAAAACAAAAACAAAAACCACACAAGCAAACAAAGTCTGGGGCCTTGGCTCAGGTGGTTAAGACACTTGTCTGGCATGCATGAGACCCAGGGTTCAATTCAATAAAAAACAAAAAGCCAAACCATGACTCCACACACAGGAGCAGCAGCAGGCAGGTGTGCAGAGGAGACACACGGCACTCACCCCACAGTGGGCTTTCTGCCCTGTCGTGACTGTCCATGGCCTATGCAGCTCCCACAACGCTGGGGTGGGGCAGGCACTCTAGCAGCAGGTCTAAGGCCAGGTGTGGCCTTCTACATTCCAGGACAGGGCCTGAGTAGGCCATGGCCCGGAGCTTCGCTGGCTCCCAACAAGAAGGTGCTCTATGAGCGAGGCAGCCCCTCAGCTGCTCTGACTGTATTCCCGCTGCAGAATGAAAGCAACAGCAGAAGCTCTGGGCTCAGGGCAAAGGCAGGAATCTTATTGTGCTCATATGAGCATTTGTTTTGGGGGGCAGTATTGGGATTTGAAATAAGGCCCAGAGCTTGCTAGGCAGATGTTCTGCTGCTGAGCCATACCTTCAAGTTTTACTGTGCTGGCTATTTCTGAGATGGAGCCTTGCTTCCTACCAAAATGCACACTACCATAATGCTCTCCTGCTTTTTGTTTCCGTAGAAGTTGTGGTAAGTGTGTCACCCCACCCAGCCTCTTGCCTTGAGATGGGATGTAAAGGACTTTTCTGCCCGGGCTGGCATGGAACTTCAATCCTCTGATCTCAGCCTCCCAAGAAGCTAGGATTATAGGCATGTGCCACTGGTGCCCAGCTTTTCCTTTATTGGTCCCTAAAGTGGGTCCTGAACTAGGGCCTGTGAGGAAAAAAATCTCATGATTTTTCTACCTGAGTGGACTTCAAATTGCAATCCTCAGATCTCAGCTTCCTGGGTAGCTAGGATTATATGGGTAAGTCATTGGTGCCAGTCTTTTTTCCTCGTTTGATAGAACCCAGGGCTACATGCTAGGCAAGCATTCTACCATTTGAGCCATATCCCCAATCCTTTTTTGTTGTTGGTTGTGGAGCTGTTAACTCAGAGCTGTCCCTGAGCGCGTTAGCTTCAAAGCAAGTGCTCCACCACTGTGAACCACAGCTCCACTGCCAGTTTTCTGGTGGTTAACTGGAGATCAGAGTCTAATGGGCTTTCCTGCCAGGGCTGGCTTTGAACCCTGATCCTCAGATCTCAGCCTTCTGAGTAGCTAGTTGTTGATTTTGTTTGTTGTTTTAACAGGACCTTGCTAACTTTTCTCAGGAGGGTCCTGAGCTCTCCTCCTCCCTCCCTAGCTTAACCTCTAGAGTAGCTGAGAGAGTATACTTCTATCTTTTAAATTTGTTTGCATGCCCTAAAACAAACTGCAGAGTGGGCCTTTATCGGTGTGTGCCGGGTGCTTGAGGTACCGCAGGTGCAGGTGGGCAAAGGAGATGGAGGAGCCTGCTAGGACCTAGAAGCCGGGAAAGACTAATTTGTGAGTGGGACGAAGCACAGGGAGTGGCAGATGGGGTGCTGCGCAGAGCCACAGGGTGGGCTGGATGCCCACCACCTACAGGTGGAGAAGGACACAGACAAAGCAGGACAGCCTGGATTCTGGGGACCCTCAGAGGACAGCAAGTTTCTTTACTTGGCAGAAGAGCGGGCAGCCTGGCACTGCTGAGGACAGTGGTCCTGGGCAGAAGGCAGCCCTGGGTCTCGGGTCTCATCTGTGACCTGCTCCAAGGACTGAGTGGCTCTGAGGAAGACCAGGCCAGCCCCGTGTCTGGTTCAGCAAGGCTGCAGGGCCTTGGGGTGCAGCACCTAGACCCCTCACCAACGGAAGTAGTCACAGGGAATCTTCCCCGGGGGCGGGGGAGAGTCCTGATCTCTTTGGCAAAACTGTGGGACCTGAAACACACCTATAGTGGGAGGCACCATCAGGGTCCAGGGTCATAGAGGTACTTCTGGACTGCCGGTGTGGACACACTCAGAAACCGGGAAGCAAGGCTGGACATCGGCTGTCTTGGGGGGGGGGTTACAAGCATGGAGCTTGGCTCATGAGGGCTGTCCAACAGCCAGTGTCTTGGTGAACTCTACACAGAAGCGGGCTCTGACAGCATGCACATCCAGCCATGGCTCCTACCTGTTGGGGTCTGAGGCCTGCAGCCCGCTCTCACTGGTCACGATGACCTTGTAGCACAGCTCCCCGCCTGGGTTGGGCTGCTTCCTCCGGGCTTCCCCGGCAGCCTCATCCTCCACAGCATCCTCTTCTACCTCCTGCACTTGCATTATCCCAAACATCTCCCCGGCGTCAAAAACCTGGGGTCAGAGCACAGGCAGCAGGGGATGCGGGCCATGCACAGGCCGGAAGGCCATCAGACCCCTTTGAAAAGCAAGAAGGAAGCTGGGCATGTCATTGACAATCTCCCCACAAAATCCGACAGACTCCCAGGGATATCACAGGGACCTGATCTACGCCACAGCCGCACAGGACACCAAGCTTGGATATGGCCACAGTGCTTGTTCTATAGGGAAAACACAATTGGACTTCCTTCTCATCAGAAATAATGTAAGACCAGGGCAGCCAGGTAATCTAATGGAGTCTTCTACATCACTGGTCAGCACACGTAGGCAGCTCGGGGCCTGAGGGGCCTGCGGCAAGTCCTCAAGACAGGAAGCATGGGCTTGGGTTTCCAAGGCCACTTCTGAACCTCAAGCAGCTAGAAAAGCAGACACGCTGGCCTCTTGTCAGCAGTTCTGCTGTTCCAGTCACTTACGTGTTCTCTGTGGGAGCCAGCAAAGCCATGGGGGGGGAGAGCGGGGGGAGGGGGGGTTCGGATTTTCAGACTGCCTCTGTGGTTCAGATCTTGTAACTGCTGCTTCAACCTATGTGCCCTTGAACAAAGTACTCGGCCACTTGTTGCTTGTTTCCCGGTGCGTGCAGTGGCCTTCCTCCGGGGTTGCTGGGAGGATTAAAGGACTGGGAGAGAAGGAACTGTGAACAGGCCAGAGCTGTGGGTGTCCTCCTGTGAGTTAGCGGAAACATGCCGTAAAGTTCCCGGCCCACTGCAGGGAGGCAACCAGACCTAGCTAGCTCTTGCCTTGCACCTTCTCTTCCCAGCACTCTGCGCCGGCTGGAATGAGCCACCTCTGCAGGCACAGGCAGCTTTGGCAGGCGGGGAGTGTCCAGTGTGCCACTGCGGAGGGGAGACGGATCACAGGGGATCTTGCCTGGGCTGGGAGCCCGTCAAGGGCCAGGCCCTCAGAGCCCGGGGAAACTACTCTGCTGCACTGGGAGGGCTGTGTGGGGCACTGGAGACATGAGTGGGTTCCTAGAAGGAGAAAAGCACAGAGCCTGAAGCTAAGTTCTCCTCAACTCTCGAAGCCATCCCGAGGAGGCCCAAGCAGCCTTGCCCTGAAGATTAGGAAGGAAGCTGGGGGATGGAACTCACGCCCGAGGCTTCCTCAAACCTTGGCTTCTCCTGTGCTGTGCAATAGGGTGCCAAACACCAAAGGTGGGACCAGAGGAGCCCCTAGGGAAACCGCCAAGAAGCAGCTTTATGGAAGGTTCTGGCAGAGGAGCTGGTGGTAGAGTCTAAGTCACTCCTCTCCTTCTGAAGCCTAGATCCAAGGCAAGGCACCAAGGCACTGGCCCGGCACAGATGAGGGCCTGATCACCTGTGGTTGTGCAGGTGCGGCTCCTGCTGGTATCCTCCCTGGCCTGGCCCCCGTGCAGGTTCTTCATGACTCAGAATGACTCAGCTCTGCATGTGAGAGCTATGGAAAGACACAGGCCGCCCCTGGCCAGGACACAGCAGCGGGACTGGCCAGGGCAGGACTGGGAATTCTAGTGACCGCCTCTACAAGCTGGAGCTTATCTTTCCTGACACCCCTAGCTCCCTGGTGGTAACTTCTCATCACTCTGCTTCCCACACCAAGACAGGGCTCAGGCAGGGCAGGACCTAGGGGATCCCACATGGCCCCCTTTCACCCACACAGGGATCCTCTTTGTATCTTCCCGGGGGTCTGCTTCCACCACAGCACAGGCTTGGGACCAGGGTGAGCCTTCAGGGAAGGGCAGGTGATGGGGCAAAGACACTGTTAGAAGACCCAGCTGTGGGGAGGCACCACTCACACGGAGCCTGTTAAACCAAACGGAGGCACCTGGACTTGTGACAAGGTTATGTACTTGGCACCTTGCCACCCAGTCCCCCGTGGTCACAGACCCCAGAGAACAGGGATCTCAGGATCCCTGCTTCCGCCAGCATGCTCCTCCACAGCAAACAGCTGGCCCAGGAAAAGAGCAAAATTCAAATTTTGAACCGTTACTCTCACTGAATACCCTTGGGCATGTGTTTTGCTGCTGTTTGGCAGTGCTGGGACAGAACAGGGCCTCGCACATGCGCTAGCACTGAGCTAGCCGCTTGTATTGAAGTAGGCTATGTCCTTAAACAAGAAGCCCAACAGAAGAAATGCCATTTATCCCCCAAGGATAAAGGCCCCTAACCCCAGAGCTGCCATTTGCTTAGAGGGTGCTGTGAAAACCCCCAAAAGGTTCCATGTGCCCAGCATTCCAGGAAATAAGTCTAGACCTGCTAACAATGCTCATTCTTGCTTTTGTATGCTATGAAAAGGAAAAAAATTAAAACCTTCACATGTTGCTTGGGATAATGTGGCTTTTATCTTTAAAAGACTAGCTTCGAGCTCTCTGGGAGCTGCATGATTTGGGAAGCCTATGCCCAACGCAGTCACCCGCCTTGCCAATAAAGACGCCTATAATTCAGTTTATCAACTGTGGCGATCTGCCTTCTTGCTGATGGGGTTACAAGAGTGTGTTGTGGTAGGAAGATACCTGGTTCAATCCCTGGGCTCTCAGTCAGCCAGACTCTGGGCTTCTAGATCTCTGTGAGACACATTCCTCTGGGCTCTGAAGTTCCTTCTGGTCACCTGCACCCCTAACTATCTCAAAGTGGGACATGAGTACTCAAGAGGAATTGGCTCCAGCTTAGGACAGAGCCCTGGCTGGCTGGCCCTGAAGCCGCCCTAGCTTGAGCGCCTGGGTAAATCCGCTAATCCCAGGGCTCACTCGCCACCCCTCTGCCGGGAAGGGGGACCCTGGGGAACCCCAGGTTAGAGCCAGCAGGCAGCAGGATGGAACTGTTCCCACAAAAACCAGGCGCATCTAAAGGCATCCGAGCCTCTTTAAAAGTTTTGTCTCCCAGCCTCAGTGTTCCTTATGACCAAGGCTCCCAGGCATGAAGAACCACCAGGCGCTGGAGCGCACGCAGCTCCCCAAACGCACAGGCTCCAGCTCTCGGCAGGAGGCAGACAGCCTCGGACGAGCCCCAGCCGCGGTTCGCATCCCCCGGCGGGGTGACGGGTCCGCCCCGGGGCGGCACACAGCTGGGGCCTCAGCGCCGGCCGGCCCGGCCCAGGACCCCAGATCGGGGCACAGGCTGAGACCACGGGCTCCCCAACTCCAGGCCGCCCCCAGCCAAGAAGGCGGAGTTTCCGTCGCTCTCCCGCACCCCCCCACCCGGGCCCCCTCTCCGCCCCGCACCCCCCTCCCCGGCCCGGCTCCCTCCTTCCCCCC